AGGGATTAAATTCTCTCTTTTGTCTATTCAATTGTAGATATCTTGCTATTATTCATTTTTTCAACTAAGCAAATGCAACACATTTATTAAAAATTACCTTTTTCTGATAAATCTAGATCTACAGCTACTATCTCTCTTTTATGAATTTGGCAAATAATCTCTTCTATCTCAGGCTTTTGTGGTTGTGTTTATGACATAATGATATTCATTTATTTTATTTTTAATAATAAACTTAATACTAACTCCAGGTTTCTTTAAATCAAAAATTGAATTCTATTAATATATAATTTATTTATGGTTATACAAAATTTTGTTCATATTGTAAAATATAAATACAAATAGCATATAATATTAAATGCAAAAAGTAATCAGCACAGGGATAGGTGATTGATTCAGATCTTTAAGAATGATTTTGTGTAAGAAACTTTATTTGGAGAAAAAGTTTAATGAATTCTATTAATCCAAATTTAGAAATATAATTTATTTGGAAAACTTCGTATCTAACAAAATGCGTGAAGAATAATCTAGAAAATATATTCTTTCTTAATTTTAATTAGTGATTACTAATAAAATTACAAATACACTTTAAATTTTAAGTGCAATTTAAGGCTTGACTTCACAATTAAATGGAAAGCCCTTAAAATATCTATATTTAAAAGTTAGCAATTAGATGTTTTATTGCTTATTGTAGAAAAAAAATTTAATTAAAAATTTGAAATAATCAATAACAACTATTTTCTTAATAGCTTTAAAGCCTAAATATATTCTATAAAATAAATTCTTAGTAATTAAAATTTTTTGTTCTAAAGAATAATCAACTGTTTTGAAAAATGAGTTTCCAAAATTATACAAGCCTTTTGTCACTAAAGACCTAAATGGGGACTTAAGAATATAAATTAAAGTTTAATTCAATTAGACCGTAATTTTAAAATTTAAGGTATAAAACTATCTAAATAACATCCTTTAAGTAATTGCAAAAATCGGATGAAAATTTAATTTTTTAAAATAAATGAAAATAGTCTATTCTGATGACCGCTTGAAAAAATAAATTAAAACTATTGGTGTTTTTATCAAGTTGTATTAAATTTTATAGGTAGGATATATTTGAACTGATTGTAAAGAGTGAGAATATATAAAAATATTTCTTATTTTGTATAAATATGAAACTGCCAATAAAGTTAAAGGATATTAGATAAACCATAATATATTTTTTCAATTATTGTGATTTTATTCATCAAAAGTATTATAAAGCAAGGAATCTTTATTTATTTTCTAAATATCAAACATCCTCTTCAAAAAGCAGATTTAGTTGAAGTGAATAGAATAACTAAATCAAGAGAGAATAAATCAAATTCAGGTTATATTTATAATCTTTGCTATTATACTATTAGCTGTTATAACCATCTGATACATTATAAATTTATGTAGATGAAATTACTTTTATGGATTAATCCTTATTTTAAAAATGCCATTATCTTGCGATTTTAATTGAGGTTGATCACATTTTATTTTGGAGTAGAAATAATTTAGTTTGAAAATTAAACTCTTTTGAAATCTTAATATCAAATAATTTACAAATGGTGGAAAGGTTTCATTTAGAAATTATTCATATCAAAAAACTATTTGCCATAATTTATCTACTCAATTTAGCTGCAAGGAGTATAATCAATACACTTGGTGTTTTATGGAAATCTATAAGGATTGCTGTAATATTGTAATCTTTAGGAATATCTTGATTTTAATCGGCATTTTAAATAATATTCTAGTTATTATTTTACAAAAGGTCGGGGTATATTCTTGGGAGAAGAGATTATGCTTTAGTCAAAAAGAGGGATAGAATGAAAATAATTTAGACCTAGAAATAAGCATATATAATCGATTTATATGACCTATATTGAAAGATATAATCTTTTATGGGAGTCTTTAAATATAATCAAGGAACTGTAAGATTGGTAAAGGAGGTAACAAAGACACCATAGGAACTTATCCAAATGGAATCAGAAACTCTTTCTAATGATATACTATGTGCTTATGTGGCAGTAGTTGGAGAATTTTAAGATTCTATTATTTATAAAACTATAATGATACTTTTTCAGGATAGAGATAGAATAAATTGATATCCTTAAACTAGATGAAAATTTACTAAATGTGCACACTCCCTTCTAGCGATTTATACTTTTTAAGATATTAGAAATGATATTCTAAAAAGTGAGATTTCGGTTGTCTAACATCGAATATCAACAACCATATTTTAATAATTTGTAGTTAGTAATAAAACAATTCAATAGCATTGGTTTATTTCTTCTTAACTTCTCTCAAAGTTAATCATTCAAAATTATATACTTTATTTGAAGGATGAAATCTTAAAACTAAAGGATTACTATTTTATTGTTTATTTTGTTTTGCTTAAACCGTTTGCTAGTTATAGATCAGGATTTATTCTTTTTCTAATTGATTTCTCATTTGATAATCTCTAATTTTTAGAAGCTGAAGACAAAAAACTTTATATCAGAATACTCCTTATTTCATTCGACAAGACAAAAACAAAATCTAACATAAATAAGAATCATTTAATATGTTAAAGAAGGAGAACTCAAAGACATCTGAAGAAAGGTATAATTGGAATAACAAAATTAAGGATGCTTAAAGGTGAACTGGAATCAGGCAATATTTGATCCAATTATAAACCGCAAATCGAGGTTCAAAGCTAAATCGACCTCTTTGAGTGAAGGGTAGAGTTGATAAAAATGAATTAGAGAAGTTTATACAAGCTAATTACTACCCTCGAAAAGAAAAATATCATTAACAGAGTTACCGGGTTTATATATATAGTCAATCTTATACCCTTTATGGTTTTAATTTTTACTAAAATTTTGAGAACCTTCAGATATAGTGATCTACCAAATATAGAATTTGCCTTGCTATGGTCAAGATGAGAGATATCAAAAATTTTGATTGAATATCAAAAAATAACAAATAAAGGTTTAGCTTTCATCCATTTAACCAAAATCTAAAAATTTCAGAAGGAACCCTAAAAAAGTAAATTGCTTATCTCAATTATGAATTGTTCGACAATTTAATTAAGGCATTTTTTATTCGAAGAATAGTAATTAGCTTACCTTAAGATTCTATTATAATAACTAAGCTTTCAAACTGTCAGTCACAATATAATCAGAAATATATCTTTTAAAGTTCCATAATGATTTAAATATTTTTAATGTAGGTTAAAGAGTTATATTGAGAATAAATTCTGATTTTTTTAGACAAAAAAAATTCTAAATTTCTGGTATAT